GACAAAGTAGTCCGTGTGACATCAGTGGTTCAACTGTAAAGTTACGAAGCTACGAGAATACTTTTTTGTGCAAAGAAAACAAAAATAACGACTTTATTCCACATTTTCGTCTCCACTTTGGACGTGCGTTCACGACATTACCATGACGCGAGCGTGTCGTAGCTTCGTAACTTTACAGTTGAACCATTGATGTCACACGGACTACTTTGTCAATCATCTTGGTACTTTTCTGGACCTTGAACGTGGTAGTTACCTTGCTGTCTATGGGAGGGTCAGAGAGCCCTCATATTTCATCAAAAATATCTTAAATTGTGTTCCGAAGATGAACGAAGGTCTTACAGGTTTGGAACAACACAAGGGTGAGTAATTACTGACAGAATTTTCATTTTTGGGTGAACTAACCCTTTAACAACCTGGAGCTCAACATGCTCAAAACAGCGTTATTAATTATGGGTGCCCTTCTGCCTAACCTCCAAGAACTTTAAACCTCCAGAGTGAGGAAAAGGGCTGGTAAAAGCACTCTGGACCCCTCACACCCAGCACACTTCCTCTTTGAACTGTTGCCCTCTGGCTGGCACTACAGCGCACTGAGCACCAAAATAGCCAGACACAAGAACAGCTTTTTCCCCCAGGCCATGTTCTACCTGAACAATACATTACACATCTCAGGACTGTACAACAGTAAATAACTTAACAAAATTTTTCGTCTATAAATAGCACATATGCACATTCACAATTCTGTCTATTGATATTTTCTTTTTCTCTATATTTTATTACCATATTATATTTTTTATTTATTATATTCTCTTTATTATTAGTGTTTTATTTCACATTATTACCTTAAATTATATGTATGTCTGCACTATGTCTGTACTTTCTGTACTGCTCCTGATATTTTTTATTTTATTTCAGCTTCATTTCAATTTTAATAGATTTAGTTTTAGCTTTAGTTAACAAATACAACACTAACTGTATATGAAGTTATAGTAATCATTGTATATTCTACTTGCAGTAATTCTTAAACACTGGTCTGTGTACACATACAGACGGACGTCTTTGGCCATTGCATTACGTTCCACCTCTCTTTCCATGTTTAGAAAGCCTTGTTGCAAATATATTATAAAGAATATGTGAAATGAATGGTAAATAATTCATTATTTTCTACCCATCCAACCTCTATCAGGAACTGGATGCTAGTATAGCCAAAGAAGAATGCACTCTCCAGCACATTGAAAATTTGTCTGAAGCTGTGAAGGCCAACACGTCTCCAGCAGGTGCAGAGAAGATCACAAAAGAGATGGAGGAGTTGAGGCAGGCCTGGCAGAGGTTACGCCAAGTGCTGCTGGAGATTCAAGAAGAGCTCCAGAGCTCACTGGACTCTGAAAGTGAGTATTCAAACCGTTGTAAGGAGCTGTGGGTGGACCTGGAGCAGCTTCGTACCTTGGTCCAGAACCTCAGCAGTGATCTGGAAAGCAGGGATGGAGAGAGAACTAAGGAACACATGGTAGCTCAATGGAAGACGCACACGGTTAGCACTCTGTTCATCTCTCTCACCACTCCCAAATAGTCTTCTGATGTCTTCTTGTAGGATACAGATGGAGACTCTGCATGTTTTTGTGACAGCACATGATAACTACAGTGATTTAGAGAATGCCTTAGGTAAATTCCTGTTTGGGGTGAGACAGTAATTTGAGCCGTAGTAAAACTAATTCTACAAGTTGTTTTTGGAACAGTAGAATGTGGCATACCTCCTACATGTGAGACACACAAGGGCAAATTCACTATACAGTTTTAACACTTTGTGTGCTTTATTTCAGTGCAAACGACCTGCGCCTTATTCATTAACTGCAGTACACATTGGTATAGGGCTTCATTATACGCTATTAGCTTTTTTTCTATCTAAATTTGAGCAATTAGATGTTGAGATGCTTTAGTAGTGTCTTTGATATAAACGTCATTAGCAAAAACGGCGTCAAAGGTTGTATGTTCACACATTCACGTGTGTGTGTGTGTTTGTGCATTTTTATTTCAATCCATCAAAGTATTCAATTAGACCAAGTTTGCTGTAAGCAGTGGGGAAAACCAACAAGGATGAAAATCTTTTTTAGATCAATGAAAGCTGTCTGGGCCCCCTGTGGAGAAATTCTGCATTTATGCCCTGCTTGAATGAGCTGCCTTCAAACGCACTGTGTGTACTCATTTCATTAATTAGTTCTCTACGTCCACATTTCAGGGTGTGCGCAATAAGCTCATTGCAGAGGAGCCTAGGGTGGAACAGCTGAAATCCCGGTTGAAAGAGCTATTCCGATTCCCACAAGATTCCAAAAGCCTGTCTGATGAGATGCTAGCAGTGGTGAAAGAGTACCAGAGGTGAGCAGTAGTGTTGCTTTCGTCAACGAAAATTATGACTAAATATCGTCGTCAACGAACCTTTATCACGTGACGCAACGTAAATGCTGGTCATGTGACGATGACTATAATTAAATGTATAATGCAATATTGTTGACGAATAAAAACGAGACTAAATGTGGTTTACAAAATAAAAAATATGCTAAAATGTATTTCTTAATTTTCGTTGACCAAAACGAGACGAAACTAAATGTTATAACGTTATTTCGTCTCGTTTAGTCGCGTTATTATTATTATGTTGCAGTATTTCTGTTTCCTGTGTCTCACTTCAGGGGCTGCATCAGGTTGCACTGCGCAGACGCAGGTGACGTCACTTCCTCAAACCCCACTCGCGGCATTATTTAGAACAGTATTTCCCAACCGGGGTGCCGTGTAAAAAATCCTTTTTTAATATTTTTAAATTGCTAAAATGTTTACTTTCACGTGGTGTGACGCTCTGCGTATTATCCACTCTATGCGTATGTGCTCCGCTCAGTCGCTCACGGCTCATGTGAGTGCTCCACTTATATACCGTTCATGCTCATCGGAACAGCAAAGTCCACTCAAAAATCAAGCTGACAGGAAACATCGATGTAGTACAGTATTGTCAGCAACCACACACATGCAAAGAGCCTCTGGCAAAGGAGGAACGAGGCGAGGAGAAATACTTTGATGGATATTTTATTAATCATTAGCTATTGATAATGACGTTGGTAAACATTCTGTCATGCAGACATAATGGGAGGCTCGTCATGTAGGTTTCCGTCCTCATTGTGTTACTGTCAGTGTGATGTCACTTACACAAGTCTAGTCAGCCGTAAACAACGTGTATCCTAAAAGAGTGCCAATGTAAGCACTTCAAACAATTAGTGCATTATACACAGGGTTTACTGTATTTATTTATTCATTTGTTTTGTGGCAGCCATCTGTTGAAAGCTCTGTAAGCTCATACTGTATAGGACTACTAAGTAGAGTTGTTTTGTGTTTCCTGTTGCAGTGTGAAAGGCAGATCTTTCAGGCTGTCCTCTGAGAGCGAGATGGCTCTTCGGCAGATACTGCAGGATCCTCTGTATGGCTTCAGCCAGTGGAGTCAGGTGGTTTCTCAGGTCCTGGAGGCCTCCGCTGAGTTGACAGATTTCTCCCAAATCGCTCTGCTCACGCAGCATATTGAGGTAAATTATATACACCTACAAGTAGCTTTCAACAAAAGGTTTTTTTCTTGTGCAAAGAGGTGGAGTAAAAAAATTGTCCCTCTAGATACACTACAATTCAAAAGTTTGGGTTAGTAAGATTTTTTATGGCTCATATGGTAATAATTTTATTTGTGTTGGTCTTAAATTTTATTTAAAAATGTAAAAAAGTCTGCAGATACCCTGAATTAAATGCTAATCATTTTAACTTTTTATTCATCAAAGAATCCTGGAGAGAAAAAAAAACATGTCATGGTTTTCACAAAAATATTGAGCAGCACAATGGTTTTCAACTTTGATAATAATATGTGCACTAAATCAGCAACTTAGAATGATTTCTGAAGGATCACGTGATACTGAAGACTGAGGTAATGGCTGCTGAAAATTCAGCTTTGCCATCACAAGAATAAATTGCATTTTAAAATAGAAAAATAGAAAACTCTCATGTTAAATTGTAATAATATTTCACAAGATTACTGCTTTTACTGTATTTTGATCAAATAAATGCAGCTTTGATGAGCATAACAGACTTCTTTCAAAAACATCAAAAAATTACAAAACTTTGAACAGTAGTGTGTAAATAATGTGATGCATCATGCATCACATTATTTAGTAAAGAACTGTATGTGAATCAAATCATTCAGAACAAATATTAACAAACAAATATTTAACAGGACTTTTTTTTCTGCTAGTATGGCCCCTTCCAAAAATTGTCAAATAAACAAATTTAATTAAAAATAAATTAAGATTTATTTTTATTTTTTATAAGATTATTTGCAATAATAGCTGGAATCTGTATATAGTTATGTAACTCGATAGATTTAAATTCATAAACATACTTGCTGTAAAATGAGGGCTTACGGCGCAAAACGATTTCTAATTTATTTCAAATTTTTTAGCCCATTCTAAGTAGGGGTGGAAACGGTTCAACTTTCTCACGGTTCGGCTTGTATCACGGTTTTAGAGTCACGGTTTCGGTACGGTTCGGTATGTGCTATGTTTAGGGAAAAACTATACTGTCAAATAAAAATAAAGAAAATAAGAATAATCTATCTAACTGCAAGCAACAGCACAAATACATACAAAAGAGTAAAGATACAAATAAAATAAACAGTGATTTCAGGTTTTTTTAGGTAGGTCTAAAATTATTTTTTAGGTACAGGAATTGAATAAAGTATTGAAATGTAAAACAGCATTGCATATTTGACTGTATAAATTAAAGATTAATCTTTATTAAAGTTACAAAAGCTATTCAATCAAGAGCAGTGAGTGATTTCTTTGTTGTTGCTGTTTGATTAACATTAAGAAAGTGCTGTCACTTTAAGACACTGTAAGTACGTTCAGCCGGCTATGTCTGCTATAGGATGCTTACCAAGACGGGCATTTTGACATAATTTTTGTGTGAATTTGTCCATTTAAACACAATACTTCAGAGAGAGCTTAATATTGACACGGGTTTGCGCGCTTCGGATGAGCGCACGCACAAATCTTCTCACTGCGCGCGCGAGCTTGCGTCCTCTGGCTCTTAAAAGTTTAAACTGGCAAAGCTTACATGAGTTTGTACATGAGTTACACTCTGAATGTTGTGATATTTTCCCGTTCAGCATTTTTGACACCTGATTTACACTTTGTTTTGAGAAAATAAAGATTATAGATCTAGTTTATGCTACAATCTGTTGTGGATATGATCATATTGTTTTTAAGCATTTGCAGTTCTTTTTGCCTTAATTCTGTGTTAGTGCTTTGTTCTCTTTGTAGTTATTGAGTGTGCTCTTTCTTCTTTTGTTTTCTTCTTTGTAGAAGTTACTTAAAAACAGTGTGCAGCTCCAGGAGCGCTTGAGTTTGCTCCAGGTGAAGAGTGATCTGCTCAGCTCAGTTTTTGGCCAAGAAAAAGCTGATGATCTGTTGCAAGAGCTCAGAGGGGATGTGAGGAAGAGAGAGTTACTCCACAGCAATCTCCTAGAGTGCAAGAACCACCTGCAGGTACCCCGCCAGCAACAGCTTAAAATTTTACTGCTGTATGTACGGACTGTAAATGCCTGAGCTACATCAATTCTCTTTACCTCGCCATTAGCCATAACATGCATAGTCTCGCATAACAGAAAATGTGGTCAACGATAAAGGGGTCATATGATTTTTCCTTTCTTTTTGGAGTGTTACAAGCTCTTGGTGCATAAAGAAGATCTGTAAAGTTGCAAAGACTAAAGTCTCAAATCCAAAGAGATATTCTTTATTAAATAATGTTCTTTTTAGCAACATCATATGACCCCTTTAATGCATATCATGTCCGGCAGAAAAAAAAGAAGCCCTGTTTATTTGTCTAAATGTATGCAATGAAAAAAATAGTATTTTTTATTTTTTTTTTAAGTTACTTTATTCTTCATTAAATACCAATCCTTTAGGTGTTGTTTTAAATCAATAAGACTTTTTTTTTTCATTCAATTATTATTCAGTAGCTTCTATATCACTTTCTCATAAATAGTTTGTTAAATGTTTTATTGTTTTTATTTTATTTTCAGATTATCTTGATATAAATGTATTCTTGTATCACCCACTGATATCTTTTTATTTTATTTTCAGATCATCATGATATAAATGTTTTCTTATATCACCCACCTGATAAATTTTGTTTTATTTTTTATTTTATTTTCAGATTGTCATGATATAAATATATTCTTATATTGTCCACTGATAGATTAGTTTATTTTATTTTTGTTTTATATTTTAGTTTCAGATTCTCATGATATAATGTATACTTATATCACCCACTGATAGATTATTTTATTTTATTTTCAGATAACCATGATATAAATATGTTCTTATATTGCCCACTAATAGAAATCTGTTCTGTCTGGCATTAGTAATAAAAATTAAAAATAGCGCTTTACAGTATTTCAAAAGGGATTCTGATCCCTGTCTTAAACTTTATACATATTGTCTAAACATCCCAAACCATGTGGTATCCTATGAATGCCCTTAGGGTTTGATATCAAAGACAAAGGACTTTTCTGACGCCTATGACTCCATACACAAAAAACTGACCTCCATAAAGGAGAGGTTCATCATGACGGATGGACTTCAACCTGATATTCTTACCAAGAAGACCCAGGCCGACCAACTCAGGGTGAGCAGCAGAGAATATAGCTGTTTCCGACTTCAAAAATGTTTTGCTTTTTGAGTTTCTTTTTAAACAGCTGTTTTGGTTTTAATCTCTGCATGTGGTATGCTGTAGATGTACAGTGACTTTTGATTAGATCGTCTTTCAGCACACACTAAAAGAGTCATGTGAATAATTTAAGGAGCTAGGTGTTATGTCACGCTGAGCTCAATGTGTTTGCGCTGGTTGATCAGAGTGGCTTGTCCAGGTGTGAGCGGGAAAGACTCGCTAGTGGCAGACTGAATGTAAAATGAGTGTGCATCTTTCTGCAGGTCATTAGAAAGGACTTGGAAGATTGTGAAGCCCATATCATAGCTCTCGAGACACTGGTGTCATCCAGCCCTGCAAACAGGACAAAGTTTGAGCGTCTGTATGCGGACTGGAAATTGCTTTATAAGGCAGTTCGGGTAAGATTTGTTCTGCTCAAGATTCTTTGAATTTCCTGTCTATGGTTGTAAATTTAATTCAAGTTGTAGTTCATCCAAAAATGAAAAATCTGTCATCAATTAGTAACCCTCATATTGTTCCAAAGTCTCTTTTGCTCACTCACTAAGACTGCATTTTAGTGCTGTCAAACGATTAATCGCGATTAATCACATCCAAAATAAAAGTTTTTGTTTACATAATATATGTGTGTATACTGTGTATATTTATTATGTATATATAAATACACATACATACAGTATATATTTAAAAAATATATCCATGTATTTCCATGTATATATTTATATTCATATAATTGATATTATATATAAATATTTTAAATGTATAAACAACATATTTTTCTAAAATATATACATGCATGTGTGTGTATTTATATATACATAATAAATATACACATTACACACACATACATTATGTAAGCAAAAACTTTTATTTTGAAAGCGATTAATCGCGATTAATCGTTTGACAGCACTACTGCATTTATTTTATCAAAAGTACAATAAAAACAGTGATATTGTAAGATATTATTACAGTTTAAAATGACTGTTATCTGTTTTAATTCTTTTAAAATGTAATTTATACCTGTGATGGTAAAGCTGAATTTTCAGAAGCCATTACTCCAGTATTCAGTGTCACATGATCCTTCAGAAATCATTCTAATATATGCTAATATGGGGTTCAAGAGACATTTCTTATTATTATTAGCATTGAAAACTGTTTTTACTGTTCGATATCTTTGTGGAAACCATGATACATTTTTTTTCATGATTTGTAGATGAATAGAATGTTCAAAAGAGCAGCATTTAATTGAATTAGAATTATTTTTAAATGGATTTGTTTTCATGGAAATGATTCTATGGGACAATCAATCCAAAAGATTTGTTACGGAATTTACAAAAGGGTGTCTAGGAATAAACATGAGAAAGCTTTTCTCAGAAGTGTAGTCTAGTCTAAATTTTAACCAATCATGTTATCATGCTCATGCATCACCCTTGCAACTGTATAAATATTTTGTGAACATGATTTATTACATCCTGTGTGCAGGCATCCATGATACAAAAGAAAAACTGTTGAAAAAAATTATGTTGAAAGAATTTTACAGTAACTGGGGCTAATTTATCTATGGAGTTAGGAATTTGAGAGCTGTAGCAGAGGAAAGATTTTCAAAGAGTAAATGATTTTTCCTTTTTGAAAGACCTATTCCTCATATTTTTATCGTTAATTGATGGAAATACAAAATTCAGAATAATGAGGTGAGGCTACATATCTTTTTACTAGCCACTTCAAAAATTCCCAACTTCACAAGTGATTTTGATTTAACCCTGAAGATCTGTGGAAACTGCTGCGATCACACCCCGGTTTCCATATCTCCCGCTGTGTGTTGATGATGATGATGATGATGATGATGATGAAGACGATGACTATGAAGGCCTTGATCAAACCTCCTTATTTCAGTTTTAATGCACACTTGTGTCCCGAAGAGATTTTTTCTTTTTTCTTTTCGGAAAAGATACCAGAATTTATTGCATTAAAATTCTTCTCACGTCTGTTTCGGGTTCATAATGTATGTGTGTATTTATGTGTATGTGTGTTGTTGTTCCTACCAGATGAAGGTGAATGAAAGTGAGGAGAACATTGCAGAACACGAGAGTTTCCATGACAATATTCTGAATATGGAGAAGTGGTTAATGATCATGAGACAGAAGCTAGAGTCGTTTCGCAGATCAAATGGGGAATGGAGCATCGATAACCGCCAGCATGAGGCTGAGGTACACCTATGAGCAACAATTTTGGCTTAGTTACTACAGTAAATATTAGTCTTATCAAGACTAGTACATGATATAAACATAACAAAGCTTCTGAAAGCTTTTTGCCATGTTTGATGGATCCTATTTTAATCTATTGTGATTTTAATATAATTATTATTATGATTATATTTTATTTATATAATTAATCTGTTGATTTATTTGTTCAATAATCTAAATGAAGAAGCAAAACATTTCTGTAAAAACATTTTGTTATAAAGCAAAACAACATTCAAACAATGTGCAAACTAGGCTTTAAACACTTTAAAAAACAAAAACAACAAAAAAAGTTTAAATGTTTTTAACATTGTGTGCTAAAAAAACGTTATGATTTATATAAAGAGTTCATACAGAGTTATGGAAAACCTGGAAATATCAGGCAATTTGAAATAAATTTCAGTCATGGAAATTAAGAAAAGCCCGTTGTAATTGGATAAAAAAAAAATGGAATCCTTGAATATAAGAATACAGACCAAACTAAATGATAATTAAACATTTGTTGTCAGCTATTTTTAGTGCTGGGCGGTATACCGGTTCATACCGAATACCGGTGTTTATTTTTGTTTTGATATGAATTTTTAAAATACCGCAATACCAGTGTATGTCGCTTAAACAACGTTCGGAACGCGACACTGTTTGAAAGGGGTCCCTTTTCACTGTTGCACTGTGGTGAGGGAACAGCTGTATGTGTTACTAAGCGTGAAAGTTCCGAAACTTAAGCTGTAGAGCTAATAGAACGTGATGACACAGAAGAACTCATCCACAATATCCAAAATTTTTGGTCATACCACCCAGCACTAGCTGTTTTCATTATCACTTTTTTTTATCAGTTAATTGATGCAGCATTTGTATTTTGACAGAAATCATGAATGCCATGTTACATTTTTGTGAGATAAAAATTCTACACTTTAACCCATTTTATAAATATATTTAACTTATTTTATAAAGATATTTAACTATAGTCAAATATTGATGTTTTTCTATTAATCACTATTAGTTTCTTTGATTCTCTTGAGTCATGTCATAAAAGCAAATGAATGTTTGGCTGAGTATGCATGTCTTTGTAGTATTTTAGACTCAAACTTGTTTCACTGTTGTTGTCCTCTAGAGAGCACTAGGAGAGTTTCCAGAGAAGGAGCTTCAACTTCATCAGACAGAGGCTCAGGGTCAGACCGTGCTGGCCAGAACCTCTGATGAAGGCAAAGTTCACATCCAGCAAGACCTTAAACGCTTCAGAGAGACTTGGATGTCCCTTCACACGCTTAGTCTCAATCTTTACAGGTTAGAAGAAGTAAGGCTTGCAGTAATATAGTGGGTGTTGATGGTATTAAATGAAGAAAAACTATGACTCAAGGAGCATAATTATGATATTTTGTCAGACCTGTTGAACAAGCCTCATATAAATTGCAGCAGACATATTTCACATTCTAATTGTACTGCACCCAGTTCACCTGGTCATCTTGATTTTAATTATTGTTGATTGCTTTGTGAATCAGTGCTGTGATCACACTATGTTTACTAGTCAGACGTTGAGGAAAAAGATCCAGAAATTAGCATTTACTGTTGAACAAAGTATTTTAAAGGTGATATGTGTAATATTTCAATTTAAAATACTTCAAAATAGACAAATACCTGCTGATTAATCACTGACCTGGCCAGTATATCTCACTTTTTTAAAATGAAAATTCAATTTTTGACAACCTATTTATTACTTTAACCATAACTTACTAGGCTTCTGAATGGACATGCTGCCACAGGCGACCAAGATCCCCTATTACAGAGAACCGAGTTCCTGGACAGATGGGCAGAAGGGCATCACCAGGGAATGGATTCAGACTTTGAAGTGGGACTTGCCAAAGGAGATGAAGTAACAGGCCAGCATCAGAGATCCTGCCACGGGCCAGAATCAACAGGTCACCTACAGCTGGAGAGAAACATGGAAGCAAAACCAGATCGAAGACCAGGAGGTTCAGAGGTCTGGAGAAGAGAGTGGAGTTACCAAGACCAGTCCATGGATGATGAAGTGGATGCAGTCATATCTGGAGGTGACCGTAATGTGAACAGGAAGAGGATTGGGATGGACAAAGGTGACTTGCTCAGGAGCGGTGGTCAGACTGGGGAATGGGTTGAACAACACATACCTGGTTCTGGGATCGAAGACCTTGATATAAAAGGTAGATGCAGCTTTTTAAGTGGGACTGACTCTGATGCACAGAAAAGGATGCGGCAGTCACAGATCCCCCATGATGACACTCAGGTTATTATGATTAAAATATGATTCTTGTATTTTGTTATATCTTGTCATAAGGCTGGGACTTATATCAGAATATGCTATGTATGTGCAGTGATTTTGCTTGCAATATAATTAAATTACATAGTAAATATTCCAGTGCTTTTATTTGATGCCGTTTTTGGCCATGCTTTATGATATTTTGCCGTCTCTCCTTGTCTTTTGACTTGGTAGGCTATAATAAAGTCTCTGATTTAAACATAAGTAGCAAAATGGCATTATAAATAGTAGGAACTGTCAAAGTTTCAAACCTTTTACAGGAATTACAGGAATAAATTGCATTTTAAAATATATCAAAATAGTGAAAAAATGATTGAATTGCAATAATATTTCACAATATTACTGTTTTTACTGTTTGAATAAATGTAGCCTTGGTGAGCTTAAGAAACTTAGAAACTTCTTTTTTTTTTTTTTAAACTCCAACTTTTGGATAGTAGAGAAAATGAAAATGATCATTTTGTTTATTTAGTGAAAAATGCAAGGAAAACGTGCCTTTATTATTTTAAACTAGATTTTTACTTTAATTTACATTATTAAACATGTTGAGTCATACTCTTGAGTCTGGTGCTATTTCAGAGCAAATACGTAAAAAGAGATGTGCAATATCATCAAAAGACTTAGAAATGGAGATTTTTTTTTTTTAGCTAGGTCATCCAGCCCTAAAGCCACTATTATGCAAGCAGTGCCTAGGCTATAATCATAAATATAATCATGTCTCTTTTCATTTCTGCTGCAGATGGGCTCTCAGGGGCCCCAACATCTTGCTGATATGGAGGCCCAGAGGAGGGAGTTTGAAGCGTGGCTTCACAAGGAAAATGACAAACTCACAGGAATTCTGAACAACCAAAGATCCTTGAGCGATAAAGAACTGAGGATAAGACAGAATACACTCAAGGTTGGTGGTGTTTTAAGTTTTTTTTTGCTTTCTTTTTTATGTTTTTGATTAAAGTTTCATGTGGAGTCCAAAATATCAAAAAGTGTTAGAGTAAAAAACAATCTTTTTTATAGCTTTGATATCTTATTCAACAAAGTGCAGTGTGATGTTTTACTTTGGTCACAAAGAACACGCTGGATAATTTTCAGTATGTGAAGCTACATGTCTGTGGAAATCTGATGTGTTGTGTGCCGTACATGCGTTTACATCAGTGCCATTGTGGTTGCAGATCTGTGAAGCTTTGAAAGGCTTGTGCTCAGGTTTTACCCCAGGCTTGGAAAAATTCAAACTTCACAACTACCTGGAAGCTGTCATATCTGATGACAGTTGAACTGACAGCCACTGTGTAACATTGACTTTTTTTGTTCACAACTCTGATTTGGGAAAGCTCTTGAATGGCAATTTATAGGTGGTCTTCCTGTTGAATATACCCTGAAACTACTTCAATCTTTTGCATATTGTACTCTGTGGGGAAAAAAAAAACACATTGAGATTATCTTCAGTTAAAGGGTTAGTTCACCCAAAAATGAAAATTAGTCCATAAATTACTCACCCTCAAGGCATCCTAGGTGTATATGACTTTCTTCTTCAGTCCAAAAGAAGTTAAATAAAAAGCGCCCATCCATAAAATAAATGTCTCACACAACTCCAGGTGGTGAACAAAGGCCTCCTGTAGCGAATCGATGCGTTTTTGTAAGAAAAATATCCATATTCAAAACGTAATAATCACTTTAATCTAGCTTGCGCCAACAGTTGTACACGGAAGCAGCTCCGGGCAGATGACGTATGAGTTCAGCATTGCGCATGCGTCGGTGAGTCTCGTGAAAACCAGCGTTTGTTAACAGGAGCAAAGGAAGCAACGTTTCCTTACTTAAGCAGAGGAAAACCAGTCTCCTCTTGGCTTATATCGAAATCCTCCGACATTCTTCTTTACAAATCCTTGTTTTGTTCTTCTAATAAGTGACCATTGTTTTGATTTGATCTCTCCGCTGCGCTTCCGCATTCATCACTTCTGAGCGGCGCATGCGCAAATCCAACCTCATACATCATTCGCCCGGTCACTGTGTACAACAGTGAGCGCAAGTTAGATTAAATTGATTATTACATTTTAAATATGCTTATTTTTCTTACAAAAACGCATCGATTTGCTACAGGAGGACTTTGTTCACCCCCTCGGAGCCCTACAGCTGACAAAGTGCCCAGATGCTTCAGTGCTAAGACCTGACTTTATGTTAGCAGGAACTGCTTCCTTCTCCATTAATAACTGTTGCTAATTCAGACACACTTTTACTTATAGGCATAACTTAGAGATTGTCAGTATAATGTGCTCATAAAGTGTTAAAAAAATCTGTTGGATATTATTTCTATGTGGACATTAAATTACATTGTAAAGCATTTTTATCTGCCATTTTTTTTCTGTAAAGAAATTGTTAAATTACTCCGTAATGTCATTAAAAACTGATGACTGTGAATCAGATTTGCTTATCAGTCAACTGGAAAGATGAAAATATAAAGCAGCACATTTGTTTTCAGCATTAATGATAAGAAATGTTTCTTAAACGCCAAATTAGCATATTAGAATAATTTCAGAATTCTGGAGTAATGGTTGCTGAAAGTTCAGCTTTGCCATCAGAGGAATAAATTACATTTTTAAATATATTCAAATAGAAACAGTTATTTTAAATTATATTCATATTTCACAATACTTCAGTATTTACTGTATTTTTTATTAAATAAAAGCAGCCCTGATGAGCATAAGAGTCTTCTTTCAAAAACGTAAAAAAAAAACAAATCCAAACCCCAACCTTTTGAACAGTACTGTATTTGCATCACAAAAATTACAAAAGCTTGTTTGATAATATTGTGGACATCAAATTTCTAAGACAGGATTGGTCTGTAATGTTTTTTAAGCAAAGGGTTAATTTTGGATTCGAAATAACTGGATTATGATCCACAAATCTTTAACTACTACACCTACACAAACCCCTCATAGTAAATTTGTCGTGAAAATTATTATTATTTTTTTATAGGGTTTACATGCCGGTGTAGCCTGGGGTCAGAGTCAGTTCCAGAAGTTGATGGCCGGTCGGCAGAGTACGTCAGCGGAGGAGGACGTGGAACTAGAAGAGCTGCATTACCGCTGGATGTTATACAAGTCCAAACTTAAAGAGGCTGGTGACCTCAGAGGTCTGCTGAAACACAAGGTACAAAGAGAAAATCTGTGACCATTATTTTTCTTTTATTACTTTATTTTAAAGTTTAATTTATTCATTTAATTAATTTATATTTTTTATTTATATTATATTGTATTAGATTAGATTATGTATTTATAATAAAAATATTATTCAACTTTTATTAACTTTTATGTTATTATTATTATTCAACTTTCCCTCGGGAAGCTATGGGTACCTATTTTTCTTTACATTATTTTTACATTGCTTTATTTTCCTTGTGCCATAAAATGTATTTTTAATGTGAAGCCATAATTTTGACTCCCTTCAGTTTTTAAAAATGATGAACAAAATTATTATATGATGAACACCAGGAAAGAGCAATATACAGTGGGTACGGAAAGTATTCAGACCCCCTTAAATTTTTCACTCTTTGTTATATTGCAGCCAGGAGAGGATCTGCAAGGAGGAATGGCAGAGGATCCCCAAATCCAGGTGTGAAAAACTTGTTGCGTCTTTCCCAAAAAGACTCATGGCTGTATTAGATCAAAAGGTGCTTCTACTAAATACTGAGCAAGGGGTCTGAATACTTAGGACCATGTGATATTTCAGTTTTTCTTTTTTAATAAATCTGCAAAAATGTCAACGATTCTGTGTTTTTCTGTCAATATGGGGTGTTGTGTGTACATTAATGAGGAAAAAAAATTAACTTAAATGATTTTAGCAAATGGCTGCAATATAACAGTGTGAAAAATTTAAGGGGGTCTGAATACTTTCCGTACACACTGTATATCATCTACTACATTATTTCCAATGCAGATTTTGATGTAGTATCATGTGTCCACCAGAAGGTGGTAGCAGATTGTAGCCGGATGCAACTAACTAAACCTAATGTTTCTGTTTGTTTCAGGGTGTCAGTGGACAAGGACAGGAGCATGTCCGAGCTGGAAAGGTAGGTTTTATTCTTTGAAAGTAGGCCTTGATGTTGTGAGTGGGCTTGTGTTTAAAGTGGTTTTCAAAATCTCTCTGGTCTGACAGTGGAGAATGTTTGAAGCCTTTTTGAAAAGAAAGTATTCCCTTTTCAGGTCTAGAACAGAATTGAAAGCAGTATTTATTTATTGACACCAACTGAGGCTGGTAGACTTCGTTTCTAAGATGTAACAGCGGCATGTGATTAATGATTTTGAAAGAAGGTGCTCATTTAGCAGTTTGAATCAACTGCATACTACTTCTTTCTTGTTAAATATTGTTTCACTCTGAAATAAGTCAAATTACGGACACAAAATGGTTTTTGAATGCTGTTTCATGTCGACTTTAAGAGTTTGTAAGCACTCTCAATAGGGCTGCACAATTAATTGAATTTCTAATCGCGATTACAATTATGGATGCCACATTTACGTAATCGTTCAAAGTGGCAATTAATCGTTATGTGCAGCCCTAACTCTCAAGTGAAGTGGGACACTGTTCAGCTGGATTAGTTGGAGGGCTTTGAAATAGAGGCTCATAAATAGCACTTAGAAAGCCTGAATCAAAGCACCGTCTTAGCCCCCAAAAACAAATGCTATTTTTTAGCTCTGTTGGCTGCTTAAAAACATCAAGACAGTTGCTCCACTGCGTTTGTCTGGGGAGTGTGTTAATCTTTCTCAGTAATTTCTCAATTTTATCAGCGTTCACACCTTTTTTAACACCTCTTCTCACTCCTTCACTCTCTGGCCATCTGTTCATGAACAGTCACTTGAGTCTGCTTGAGAAGAGATGCAGGTGCCCTGCTGACTGCATATAAAAGGCTGTTCTGAGTTTGCCTGCATTATTTACATAAGCAGATATTAGTGGATGGAGACAGAAATGTTGTTTTGCACATGTAGCATTACCATCCAAATAACAAGGCTATTCACAGACGATTTGGTTGAGCTAGTTCTGCAAAATATGCAAAAAGAAAAAACCTTTTGAATTATTTTGAAATGGAGCATCCAAAATTAATTAGGA